TCTTTCTGTGCCGAGGCTGCCGTATAATCTATGTTGTACTCAACCTTTCTCCTGATTAGTCTAGCAATCAAAGACGCGTCCACACACCGGTTGTCATTATCATTCACGGGAGTCATGCAATTATGTGCATCATGTCATCTCACAATTTCATGAAGGCCGTGAGCTTTCAAAGACACACGCATATTCCATTCACATGGTGGTTCACCATCCTCACTTTTCACATTTAATGTTCTGCACCGCACAGCCCGCGTCGTTGGACTACTCGCGGCGACCGTATATTCCCTTTTATGATGGATGTTCCATAATTTCACAGCATGCTTTGCTTCTGATTGAGATTTGAAACAAACACCAATGTCAATTCCTTCGGGCGTCTCATCCCACATCTTAAGAGCAAACTCATCATTGTCTACACATGAGGCATCCCATTTCCTCATCTTACTATATACATGACGTCGGGACAATGGATTACAATCCCTTTCCGCATTTTCCAACCTTTCATCATCATTTTCTTCAAAATCACTCTCTCCGGAGACATCACAGTCTTCTTCGCTTTCACTTGGAGCTATGTAGTCGGAATCCGACTCTTCCCGGGAGTCATCTTGTGCAAATAAATGTGTCTCCTCTTCATCACGGTTTCGAGAAGTACTAGTACGTTCCCCCTTTGGAAAACTACCAAATGACACATTTTCCAAACTCGCTTCTATTTCTTCTTGAGTGATATCTTCCAAATCTATGTATAAATCTAAACATGACATTGGATTTACACGGTTCATGAACTCTACAAGCGAATCATTCTTGATATTCACAACACGCCTACCACCGGGACTATCAAAAATCAAAGAAAGATGGAGTGTCACGTGTGCTGGATCCCAACCAAGATACAAATCTTAATAATCAATCCCTCATATGACAACATTTCCTCAACAAGCAAACCATCATCCGGCATATTCGAAAAAGTGTTTATGCTACCATTCTCTATCACATACTTGCTTGTATGATACAAATTAAGCATGTATGATACATTACGTGCCATTGATAATTGTTAAAAAAAATATCAATAACTAATCATTTCTTAATAACAAAATTAACAAATACACCATACATACTCCATTCATAATTCAAAAAACCTATAAAATACTAAAATACTTATAAATCAACTTCCATATCTCATGAATAACTATGATTTCTCATCTCTAACCTCAAAATCAACACCTAAAACATCCAAACAACCAACCAACATAAACCCTAATCTATCATACATCATTCTAACAATCAAAATAACACAAAACTAAACTAAATAACATGGTTTTGCAATCTAACCACTTTCAAATAACGATTCCCACGTATCTAGAGGCAAGAATGCATCAAAAGCTCCAATTCACCCTTGTTTGAGGTGTAAAAATAGAAAATCCAACTCAGTTCTCGAATGAGAACTGTATGAATTTTTTTTTTCTTTTATAGCACGTTAAATTCGGATTTACGAAATCCGAGTCCGTAAGTAACTCGGATTTTAGAAATCCGAATTACCGTGACTTCGGATTTCCTGAATCCGAGTTTGGTCAATTCCGAATTTTTTTATTCATTTTTTGGTCCTCCAATTTATGGCACATGCCTACTTCCATCAACCAAAATTAAAGGCAGTCGAATTTTCAAAATTCGAATACAGATAACCGGATTACGGACTTCCGGTTTTTGGATTCAAAAATTTCGCGCCTCGATTTTCTTTTTTTCTTTTTTCTTTTTGTACACTCGGATTTTGTAAATCCGAGTACTACTGTTCATTTAAGGAGTCCAGATCCTGGACTCCGTATTTGAGTTGAAATATTTCGCGCCTCAATTTATTATTTTTTAACTAAATTCGGATTCCGGAAATTCGAACGGCACTGTTCATTTAAGAATTTTTAAAAACTATTATTCAACAAAATTTATTTAATTATTATTTTATTATTAAATATAGGTTCGGATTTACGAAATCCGAATCTTTAATTTTAATTAGAACTCGGATTTCGGAAATCCGAAAGATATATTTCTGTCCACTAATATTCTGAAAAATTTAAATTTGTCCACGTTTATTTTAATTAATTTTTTTTGGGAAATAACCCATTCAAAAACTCGATCATTAATTTAACAAAGCGAGGATAGGGAAAAAAATGCCAAGAACTGATGACCCATAAAAATTTCCGATCGTATTCCAACCTGGTAGAAATCCGGCAAAAGCAAACATCTTTGCTCATTCCAAAAGCAAACAAATGATGATCTTCAATTACCACTCTTTTTCTCTGCAAAAAACAATGCATATCTTTTTCTTCCACCCACTCTATTGTGATTCAAAAACCAAAACCATCTGCCACATTTCATCATAATTTCACTTTTCCCAACACCCAAAACAACACCATCAACCTTTCATCTAAAAAGGAATAAGCAAAGCCAAATATTGAATAAATAATTGCAGTAAATTTTAAAATTGACCAAAAAAAAACCGAACTGGTATTGATTTTGCCTCTTTCGTGTTCCTACAAATCAAAGAAATTGTAAATAAACAACTCAATTCTCAAAAAACCAACAAAGCAATCAACAAAGAAGAACATCAGAATAACAACAACAACAAGAAGCGGTGTGAAAGGAGCAACGTCGGTAGACAAATGAGATCAATGAACAATGAACGACAAAAAAAGAAGGTGACTGAAGCCTGAAAGCAAAGAACGGCTTGTAGCAACAAAGACACAACAGAGAGAACTACACCGGCAGCAGAGAGAATGCCAAAAATTTGCAGAGAAAAAGAAGAATCAGCGCCAAGGTTTCGACAGAGAGGAAAAACCTAACAGCAGAAGGAACGGCTGAATGATTGAGTTTCAAAAATTTAGCACAACATTACGAATTGTTAATTTAAATTACGAATTGTTAATTTAAATTCAAATTCAGCAGAAGGAAATTTTCTGTAACAATCATTCATAACAACAATCGCAACAACATTACGAATTGTTAATTTAAATTACGAAAAAATAGCCAAAACAAAATCAGATATAGAAATTAAAAAATTACCAAACCATTAGTAGCAACGTCTTCCGGCACCGCGGAGATGAATTCTAAATCTATTGTAAATTATATTAAAGAATCATATTAAAATTATGGGACTCTTACTGTTTCAAAAAACAAATTTAATCATAACAAAAAACTGGATAAGAATTATTTTCTCTTAACAACTTGTTCTGTTAACAACTTTTAAAATTCAGATTTAAATACGTATCAATATCTGAAGATTGACGATACATAGGGGAAAACTAAAAACTATACAACAAAAATTACGGTGGTCTAAATGAGTTCCTTTTATCAATTTCTTAACTTCGGTTCTACAAATATAACAAGTGCCCGAAATCTTGACGATTTTTTTCCTATTTATTTACTTTTATGTTTATACTTTTAATGTTTTATTTTAAAATATTTTTATTAATCTTGATTTGTTGGTGTTTTAGTGTATTGGTTGGAGAGGTTTGCTCTTATGAAGTATTCCCTCCGTCCCATAATTATTGTTCACTTTGTCCAAAAAATTTTGTCCCAAAATTATTGTTTAATTTGACTTTTTATGGATTAAATTACATATTTGCCCTGCTAAATACCCTGTTTTTTTTTTTTCACAATCGCAAAATAGAGCATCATCCTGTGATCAGAAACAGCACAAATATTTGGAGTGGTTTGACCAACAACGCAGCAAATCGGTTCTTTTTGTTTCCTTTGGGTCCAACACTTCGTTTCCGATGAACAGATTGAGGAGATTGATGTCGGAGTGAGAAACAACAACCAAAGATTCATCTGGGTCTTAAGGTGTGCTAACAGGGGAGATGTTTTCGCTGCTGAGGAGGTGAGCCGCCGACATGGACCTTGATTACGGCACCGTACGAAGAAGGAATATTGAATGATGGAAGGGGAGTGATTGTGAGGGATTGGGCACCTCAATTAGAGATCTTGCGGCACCCATCGACGGGCGGATTTTATGAGTCATTATGGATGGAATGAGAATCAGTTTTGGGGTGCCCATGGCATCAATGTCGATGCATTCCGACCAGCCAATTAATGCTATTCTGTTGACGAAGATTCTCAAGGTTTGGTTTCATAGTGGGTAAATGTGGCCACGAAGGGGAATCGATTAAAGCGGATGTAGTCAAGAAGATTGTTCGGACATTAATGGAGTCGCTCCGGTCAGATCTGAAGCGGAGTAATGGGCTGCCGATGAGGATTGAGATGCAGATCAAAATGAAGGCGAGTGTAGAAGCTCAACAACAAGGAAGTTGGGATCAAAATCGTGTGTTTGCTGGTTAAACAATTAAGTAGGCATGGGTATATCCGGTAGTTTGAGCCCAAATATAATTAAATTTGACTAAAAATCTTCCAACTTAGTTAAATTGGACAAAAATTATGGCACGGAGGGAGTATTTATTATACACTGATGTTGTTTTTAACAGGCAAAAAAGAAAATTAAAAAAAAAAAAAAAGACACATTCACCAGTGGGAGAACTCATTAGACGGGCCTCCGAAACTCCCCGTGGCCCATCTTATTACCCAAAGCTGGGCCCCGAATCAGAAGAGGTATCTCCGGGCCAGGACGGCGAAGACAGTGAAACCGAAAAAAAAGCAGCAAAAGGAAACACACAGACAGAGCTGTCTTGAAATGACCGTTTCTTATATTTTCCCCATTGATGATTTTGGGTCCTCATCTTCTGTTTGCATTTTGAAAGTTCAATTTTGACGTATTGGTAGTATAGACAAATACATTTTCGAATTTCTACGAAGGCTTCACTTGTAATTGAGATAAAGGAGTTCACAAAATCAGCTTGTTTTATAATTTGATTACTTCAAGTTTGGATTCATTTTTGCTTTTGGGTGTGTGTGCGCCCGCGCTTGGATGGACGTTCCTCCTCCTCCTCCTCCTCGCTTTCTGATCACTTTTAGAATCCTTCATTTTTTCACGAAGTGATCGGAATCCCCTTCATCGATTTCCCACCATGTTCGAGGCTCATGTAAGTCATCTGTTGCTTATTTATATTTTAATTGGATGGAAAACTGTAAATGGAAATAGGGAACTTGTTTGCTTCTGTGCGCAGGTTTTACATTTGCTTCGGAGGTATTTGGGAGAGTATGTCCATGGTCTCTCTGCTGAGGCTTTGAGAATCAGTGTCTGGCAAGGTTCGCTTTCGTTTTTTCCTCTGATTCTCCTGGCCTTTTTGGTTTTGTTCCTACTATGTACTTGCATTATTGTAATGCGAATGATTGGCTGACTTTGTTGTGAAAAGACCAACCGGGGAGTTTTCTGTGTGATCTTTATTCTTTGAAATTAGGTGTAGCAAAAACAGAAACTAATGTGATTATGCCATATTGTGGTGTAAGGCTTAAGTCATTACTTTGTGTGCAATGCTGATTGGGGAACTCTTGCATGAGGATCTCAATAGGGAAATAAGAAAAACCAAAAAAATGCAAATGGTGTCGAAATCACTATGCTTTGCTGTAGGGGTTTTGGAAAATAGAAATAATGTGAGTAGATTTACTTTCTAGGATTAGAGATAGGAAATTTTTGGAGAGTTTTCTGCGGTGACATAACTATTTGCATTAATGAGAGATATGATTATGAAGGGTTTTCTTGTTTCTCTGTTGTTTCTAGGTGGCATTTCTAGGGTTCCTTCAATCATTCGTTTTTGCTTGTTCTCCATTAATTATTCTGTATTTGTACAGGTGATGTGGTTCTTAAAGATCTGAAACTTAAAGCGGAGGCTCTTAATTCTCTTAAGCTTCCAGTTATTGTCAAAGCTGGTTTTATTGGTACAATAACTTTAAAGGTATTTGTAAATCTGCTCCTCTGATGTGATATTCGTTTGATAAAACTAAGTCTGGACTTCTTTATAGTTATAGGTGGGCATCGGGGCGGGAATAATTGATTTGTATCTGCTTCTTGGGCTATCACTAGTCTGTTCATTACTTGATTGCTGTCTGTGAAGGGATAAATTTTCGCCTGTACTTATGGATGAAAATGCAAATGTTTATAAACTAGTCACACTTTTCAGATCTCCTGACTTTTTGAGTTTATCATTGCTGCTTTTTTTTCTTTTTTTTTTTCCCTTTTAATTTGATTCGTTCTTCCTTGGTGGGGGTGGGTTTTGACAATTTGCTTTTATATTAGTTATTGCTGTTAGCCTCTTTGTCAATTGAGCAAAGTATCTCATTTTCTCAAGTCACTTGATTTAAAAGGTTCCTTGGAAAAGTCTTGGAAAGGAGCCAGTGATTGTGCTTATTGATCGAGTTTTCATTCTAGCTCATCCAGAAGCTGATTCAAGATCTCTTAAGGTAAGAACAGTGACTTCTCCTTTGTGAAATTTGTAGTAGTAAATCTTGAATGTTGTTTAACTAGTCTTGCCCTTTTTTTCTTGCGCTCGATCTTTTCAAGGAGGAGGATCGTGAAAAGCTTTTCCAGAGCAAGCTTCAGCAGATTGAGGTGAACTTTTTATTGGTTTCTTTCCTTCATTTCCATTTTGGTTATTGTTCAATACTTCTGCCTTTGAAGCCGGATGCCTATTTCAGAGCTTATTTATCTTCTTTTATCATCCATGTTTTGGTCCCTTGACAATCTCTTTTTCTAGATATCGTATTCTCATTTAATCATAAATACTGGTGTTTGCCCTGTACGTTGTATGGGTATTAGTGATATATGTCATCAAATTAATTTGTAATTTGGTTGATCATAATATTTAACTTTAAAATATATAACATTAAATAACTTTTACCAGAATTAAATTATTTCATAAAATAACAAATGAAGACAAATGAATTCGTGTTTTGATTCCTTATCTATCTCTTTGTCAAGCTATCGTTTTCTCATTTAATCATAAATATTTATCTCCGTGTGTATGTGTGTGTGTAATTAAAAATTGTGTTTTATCTTCCAATTTATGTGATATATGGTATGTGTAGTTCATGTAAAGTTAATGTGAATCTCAAGGGTTGTGGGCTACAATAACTCTAGTAAGAAGGGAAAAAAAACTTTACCGGGGGTCCTGTGCCTTCCGTGGCAAATTTTAATACTTCATCTTCACTTGAGAATTATCCTTGAAGCTCGCCTGGTATAGTTACACTTGTGCTTATTGGAAAAGATTGGAAAAATGTAGCTAGAATTCATATGTAAATGAAGAAGTTGAGTCAGCGCTCAGCATGGAAGATGCATTGTCAGTTCTTTTGTGATACATTATTGCACATTCCAAGTATCTATATGAGTCACCTTTATTTATAGTATTACTCACACATCCTCCTGTTTATTTCTGTAGGAAGCAGAATCAGCAACCCTCGAAGCAACATCAAGATCAAAGATTGGGAGTGTATGGATCTGGAATTATAACTTTCTGTGGACATTGTGTGTTGTATATATACTTTCTGCAACGGCTGTGATATCTGAATGTTCTGCTGTAGTTTGTTTCTCGCTTAGTCATATTATTGATTTTCTTCCCGTCTCTTTCTTTTGGCAGTCCTCACCTGGTAATACTTGGCTAGGGTCATTGATTGCTACGATTATTGGAAATCTTAAAATTACAATCAGCAACGTTCATGTGCGATATGAGGATGGTGTCAGGTGGGTACTTATTTGCTGTTTCTGGAACCTTATTGACTTTGCTACTTGTATTTTTCTGTTTATTTGCATGCTATCCTTTTACTATTATTGTTTTTTTTTTTTTGGCATCTTTTTTCAGCAACCCGGGGCATCCTTTTTCATGTGGTATTACACTGGCAAAACTTGCTGCAGTCACAATGGATGAGCAAGGGAATGAAACCTTTGATACAAGTGGGGCTTTAGATAAATTGCGCAAGGTTGGTGTATTGTTCCTTTCGAAAGAAGATGTTTGCTCAAGATGACCTGCTGGTTTCATTGTCCACAGTGTTTAACTGTTGCTTTAGCCTAATACAGATATCATGAATAATTTATTTATATTGTACTTGTAGTCAGTGCATCTTGAAAGGCTCGCAATGTATCATGATTCAAATCGCGATCCTTGGAAGTTGGATAAGAAATGGGAGGATCTTAGTCCCAAAGAATGGGTGGAGGTATGAAATAATTGCAATATCTCTGCCTGCATAAAATATCCTGCGGTCTTTGTTCTTGAACTGTTAAATCCTTTCTTTTATAAGATCTTCGAAGATGGCATCAACAAGTTTGCACATGGAAATACATCAAAATCAGTATGGTCAAGAGATCGGAACTACTTAGTATCTCCAATCAATGGTTTGCTGAAATATCACCGGCTGGGGAATCAAGAAAGAAATGATCCAAATGTTCCTTTTGAGAGGGCTTCTGTTGTTGTCACTGATGTCTCCTTGACTATCACAGAGGTAGAATTTGATTATATGCCCTCGTTGCGAGTCGTATAATCATGAAGTTTTCTCTTTTGCTAAAAAAGATAAATATGATCCACATTGTGGCCCCAAATAGTTGGAGCACTTGGAGGGACTATCATGGTGGTTTCTGTTGTCCTGTTCTTTGTGCACCTATTCACATCTTATTATGTGTCTGTAGGCGCAATATTATGACTGGATCAGGCTCATGGAGGTCATTTCTAGGTATAAGACATATGTTGAAATATCTCATTTAAGGCCAGTGGTACCGATTTCGGACAATGCAATGTTGTGGTGGCGCTATGCTGCTCAGGCCGCGTTGCAGCAGAAAAAGATGTGGTAATTCATTTTATGAATTCTCGATTTGTAAAAGTACCTTTAATTTCAGTTTTGGAATTTATTTAGCATATGTTCTCCTAATCTTAAAAGTAATCTTGAATAATACCTTAAGAAGAATTCTGATTCAGTTCGTCCATTCTTGCATTGTAGTGTTTTTTGCTAGCTTATTAGTTAGACGAAGATGAACATAATGTTTACAACATATTTTTACTAGCTCATTATTTAGACAATGAAAACTATATTGTTTACAACATATTGTTGCTAGCTCACTATCGAGTTAGGTGTCTATTTAGCCAAGTAGAGTAGAGATTATGAACATTGTCAGGATTACTTTTTGGAATAACTATTTGTAACTTATTTCAGTTATCGACTTTCTTGGGGCCAAATCAAGTACCTTTGCAATCTGCGTCGACGCTACATACACTTATATGCCGATTCATTGCAGCAATCTTTAAATGTTGACAACTACGAAATCAGAGACATGGAGAAGGATCTTGATCCCAAAGTTATTCTATTGTGGAGGTATATTCATGGTAGACACCTTGATTTTTGATTCTTATTATATACGATGAACTAATGAATTCAGGTTTCTTTTTGGCTAGTCTTTACTCTTTAGATATCAGCTCTAGTGAGATACTGATGGTTTTTTGTTCTCTCTCTTCGTCTTCTTCTTCTTTTTTTTTTTTTTTTTTTTTTTGGGTGCCAGGTTACTGGCACATGCCAAAGTTGAATCTGCAAAATCAAAGGAGGCAGCAGAGCAGAAGATGCTTAGGAAGAAGAGCTGGTTTTCTTTCAAATGGTTTGTATTATCGTATTTACTTTTTATAACATGGTCATGTGGTTCCGGTTGAATGTCAAAATTTTTGTGTTCAGGTGTCAATATAATTACTACAAGAGACTAAACTAAGCATTAATTTGAGTTTCTGCTTTCGTTTCGGGTTAGTGTTCCCCGTGATAAACAGGTCATGTTCTTGTCCATCACTATAAAGAACTCAGTCATTTTCGTGGATTAGGTTCGGATCATGTTATGACGTCGCCTCTCAACTGCCATCGAGTCCTCACTTTCCTTTTCTGATTTACATCTTGCATGGAGAATTACTGTATGCATCTATAAACTTGGTCCACTATTTTCATTGCATTTAATAGTTTTTGCACTATCTCAGGGGCTCTGCTTCGGATGAGGTCTCAAGTGGCAATGCCTCTGATGGATCATCACCCGTGGTGCAAGAAAAATTGACTAAAGAAGAATGGCATGCTATCAACAAGCTTTTGAGCTACCAGTCGGACGAGGATTTGACTTTACATCATGGGAAAGAATTGCAGAATATGATACGATACTTGGTTGATGTATCTATCAGTAGGGCTGCTGCTAGGATCATCAATATCCATGACACTGAGATTGCTTGTGGAACGTTCGAGAACCTTCACGTGTCTACTAAGTTAAAGCATCGAAGCACGCATTGTGATTTGACTTTGAAGTTTTATGGTTTGTCGGCTCCTGAAGGTTCACTTGCCCAGGTGTGCTAGTATACAAGTTAACCGCTGTAGGAAATATAACTGTAACTAAATATTGGTCTTGTTTGCTACAGTAGTTCTCTAAGATTAGGATTTTGACTTGTGCAAGTATTTAAGCATGGAAACAACCATAGCAACACAACATGGATAGATAGTTTTCTCTGGAGCTACTTAAGAAAATTTTACTACATTGATAATGTGAGATGGGATTTTAATAACACACCTATAAGTAGTTTTTCCACTTTTTAAATGTAACAAATTACTGGATATTCAAAACTAGGTTAACCACTTTGTGGGTTTTTCTTACGTTTGTATGTAGCCATGATAGACATGTAAACAATCTATCATTTTCTTTTCTGGAAACATGAACTCACTTTCTTCTTTATGGTGTGCTCATTGACATTTCGCGGGGAAATTTGAGATGGTGCTTCTTGGTTCACTGAACTCTGTTTTGTTAACTGGTTTAAGCTTTCACTATAATTGAAGCCTCAGGAAAAAGCATCTTTTTTCTACAACATTTTGACTTAAACTAATGAATTAGTTTTGTATCATCATTTTTGTTTTCTTCTTCCACTTTTTGTTGTGTTCTTTTAAAGGTATCCTAAATCATCCAGTGTTAGCTTATCAATTTAGTGAATTTAATTTTGTTTCAGAGTGTTTGTAGTGAGCAGAAGGTAAATGCATTGTCTGCTAGTTTTGTTCACTCACCGGCTGGGGAGAATCTAGATTGGAGGCTTTCGGCAACAATTTCTCCCTGTCATGTGACGGTAATTACTTTGACAATAAATTATGTTTCATTTTAAGATGAAGGCAGCTTTTGTTGTTGCATTCTTTCATATGTTGTGTGTGTATATGCATCATTCAGTAAATGGGTGGCTTCATTATATTCATTTTCCATGTAAAGCTTGTGATTCCTTGGTAGAACTCGATTCTTGTTTCTTGCTATATGTCAAGATCTCTAAGATTTCAATGTTACTTGAGAGTTCTTGTCTGCTTTGGGTTGTCTAGGCAATAATGTAGGTCTCATTTCTTTGTTCACTGTCTATTGCTGGTTTGCATTTAGCTCTGAACTTAAGAGATCCCTTGAACTCATGCCCTTATTTAAATCATGAAGGTTTTCGTGGAAAGCTACAATCGTTTTGTGGAATTTATGAAAAGAAGTAATGCTGTCAGCCCTACTGTTGCTATGGAAACTGCAACTGCATTGCAGGTACGGGGATTTTGGACTCACTGTTTTGATCTTCTTTTGGCGAAAGATCTCCTTAATTGACTTCAAATGTTCTTTCCCTTGATGCAGCACAAGTTTGAGAAAGTGACACGGAGGGCTCAAGAGCAATTTCAGATGGTTTTAGAAGAGCAAAGCAGGTGAAATGCTGTTGAATGTTCCTTATAGTATCCGATTTCCTTTAATTTATTTTGACCGGACACCATTTTCCACCCTTCCACGTACTTGTTAGATTTAAAGGAAGGGTTGAGACTACACCTTATAAAGGAGGCTGAATAGTGCTGATGCAAACTACCTTATTCATGTACTCCCTCTGTCCCAATTTATAGGGACACTTTCCCTTTTAGGGATGTCCTAAAAATTTACGAGTTTTTTTTATTGCTTTTTTAATTTATTTTTCAGATTTGCTCTTGATATTGATCTTGATGCTCCCAAGGTCCGAGTTCCCATTAGGAGTGCTAATTCTTCTAAATGTGATAGCCATCTTCTTTTGGATTTTGGTCATTTTACATTGCTTACCAAGGTAAGTGATGTTCATTGTTCTTGCACCCAATTATCAGATCTCTAATAATGCAATAGTTTTGCTTATTTGTTGGCTTTTCTTAACTTTTGTTTTCTTAACTTTTGTTTTGGCTTTTCTTAACTTTTGTTTTGGATACCTGCAGGATGGTGATGGATTCCTCGATGAGGGCCAAAGCTTATATTCTCGTTTTTATATTTCGGGTAGGGATATCGCCGCCTTTTTTTCAGATTGCGGTTCTGATAGTCAGACTTGCATTTTGGCAAGTAAGCCTTCGGCCTCGTCCAGTTTGCAAGATGTAGATAGCTTTTATTCTTTGGTTGATCGGTGTGGAATGGCTATTATCATTGATCAGGTAAAGTGTAATGAAGTATCTTCATTCTCAAGATTTTCCTGTTTTTGAGATATACTTTCCTAAAATATTTCTGTGTTTGTTATGTTGCTGAAGATTAAGGCGCCCCATCCAAGCCATCCATCCACCCGTGTTTCTATCCAGATGCCAACACTTGGCCTGCACTTTTCGCCCTCCAGGTATTGCAAACTCATGGAGTTGTCAAATTTATTGAACGGAACAATGCAAACATCAGAGCAGCTTGCTGTGGGAAATTCACGAAGTACGTTAGCCCCCTGGAACCCTCCAGACCTTGCAACAGAAGCTCGGATACTTGTTTGGAAGGTTAGTTTTTTTTGCCTATGGCATGTGATTATCAGCACCAAGATACATTAAGCTAATCTATTTTCTCGGCTTGCTATGCTCTTTTGATTCAGGGGATTGGCTATTCAGTTGCTGCTTGGCAACCCTGTTTTATCGTGTTATCTGGCCTCTACCTTTATGTTTTGGAGTCAGAGGCATCCTCCACTTACCAGCGCTGCACAAGGTTAACCTTATAATTACTATAGTTTTCCTTTTCCCTTTCTTTGCATCAATCAATGTGTACATTCACTTTTATTTTCTTTATGTTTTTTAACTTTTGCTTCGGAAAAATGTTGGGAAACTGCCTTTTCTGTTAAAACTTGTTTTGGAGTATGTTGTTACTATCTTTATTAAAGATCTTGTTACACACTAATGCTATCAGAATTAACTATTGCAATCTTCTATTATTTTGGAGTTTATATTAGAAGATACTGCCAATCGAAATGGTTATTGAATATTTAAAACAGTGAAATAAAATAAATTGATCTTTGTGGCGTAGTTTTATGAGTGAGTAATCATAGGTTTTCTGGAATGAGTTTATATGAATAAAGAAACAGTAATTACGGTAGAGAAATGCCTTGCATGTTATGCGGTGCAATCATCATGGCCAGTTTTACTTATTATATGTTATATTAATTTATTGCAGTATGTCCGGAAAACAAGTACTTGAAGTTCCTTCAACCAATGTCGGTGGTTCTCATTGTTGTGTTGCTTTGTGTGCTAGAGGTGTGGATGCCCAAAAGGTAAGGAAACTGATTAATTTGAATGGTCTTCATGGGATATTGTTGTGTTACTTCCTCATTCTCAAGCAGTCTTCAAATCCTTGATGATGCTTTTGGGTCAACAAATAACCTCTGTTTGTCCTGATTTCTTAGGCTTTGGAGTCTTATAGCAGTCTGATAATTGAGTTTCAAGATGAGGAAGAGAAGATGGTTTGGGTAAAAGGACTTGTGCAAGCGACATATCAAGCGTCGGTAGGTTTTGCTTATGCTCTCTCTCTCTCTCTCTCACACACACACACACACTCATAGGTATTTTTACTTTTTCATTGTTCTTCTTTCACATTGTTAATTTCCATATTTTCTGGAGATAGGCTCCTCCTTCAGTTGATATTCTTGGAGACTTTCGTTCTGATGCATCCGAGTTTACTGAATCTCGCGCCATTGCTGTGAAGTTTGTCGATCTGGTTGTTAATGGAACGCTTGTAGAAACAAAATTATCTCTGTATGGAAAGGTATATTTTACATTCAGTAAAATTCAGTGCAATCTGTGCTACATTTGGCTTGTTATTTTAGTCAGTGATGATTGGAGGAGTAAATTCATGGAGTGAAATTGCTCATGGTTTGATATAAAAAGATTCTCATTTGTTTGGTAAAATGTTGTAGATAAAAGATCTGCTATTTATGTCTTTTTGCCTGTGCACATTGTTCCTTGAGCCATTTCACCCCATGTATCCCCTCTTCATTTCATTGCTCTTTAATTTTTTAATGATATCATACTCTGCTTTCCTTGAGCCATTTCACCCCATGTATCCCCTCTTCGTGCCATTGCCTCTTTAGTTTTTTATGGTATCATACTCTGCTTTGGTACACTAGATTTGTTTGATATCTATCTGTTTGATTTTCTTATGATTTCAGTGTGGAGACTCAATGAATGACAGAATTGAAGAGAGTCTGATTCTTCAGCTTCTGGCTGGTGGAGGGAAGGTTAGTTTTGTATAATAACTGGGTACAGTTCTGTAATTGCTGACTTTATATGTACATGTTTTACGTTGGTCCACGGATTTCTAGATCGGCTGTGCTCTTTTTGTAGGTATTTGTATCACGGTGTGATTCTGACCTTGACGTGAAGGTGAAGCTGCACTCTTTGAAAATTAAGGATGAACGTCAGGGTTCTTTGTCTTTGAGTCCGCAATATTTAGCCTGCTCTTTCCTGGCAGACCAACAGTCAGTTTCTTATGACACTAATCTATCTGAAGAATCTCATGGGTATGAAGTGTTGACCATGGAAGAGGATGATAGCTTTAAAGATGCTTTACAGGATTTCATGCTTGTTCCTGATTCTCCTGAATTCATTAATGATGGGAAAGATCCATTGAAATCAAAATCTGTTGCTGGTGATATTTTTTATGAGGCGGAGGGATCTGATGAATCTGACTTCGTTTCTCTTATTTACCTGACACGCAATCCTGCTTCACCTGATTATGTTGGTATAGATACTCAGGTAGGCGAAGAAAGTTTGTGTCTTTGAAAGAGGGTTAATCACATCGACAGACCCTGTGGTTTGGAAACTCCTTGTCTCCTTCCTCCCCCAACCTAGCGCGAGTTTTTTGGAAATTGTTAATACTCAACTAACTGAGCATTTAAGAAAACTAGATCACATCTGTTAAAAGACTTTTTTTGAAAGGCTAAAACAATAACCATAATGGAGAGATGATACGGTTGAATTTCTCGTCTCATTGAAAACCTTAGGGATCAAATGTCAGTGGACTTAGCAGTCAAGGGGATGGTGGTAATTTTCTCAAGCTTCAGGGGGTGATTAGTAGTTTCCAGAAACCTCAGAGAGGTCAATGTGATCAATTCTTTGAAAACTTACTGAAAGTAGTGTTGAGTATGGTATTTGATTTCCTGTTTATTTATGGTTGTTAAATTTCTTTTTACAGATGAGCATCAGAATGTCCAAATTGGAATTTTATTGCAACAGACCTACCCTGGTTGATTTAATTGCTTTTGGTCTTGACCTTAGTTCAGCAAGTACGAGTAAAGAGAATGCAGAAGCAGAAGACACAACAGTCTTGGGTGATGAAACTTCTTCAATTAAGAAAGAAAAAACAGACGAACATGAGAATTCTTTTGTCAAAGGCTTGCTGGGACATGGTAAAGGTCGTGTCGTGTTTTATTTGAACATGAACGTTGACAATGTAACTGTGTTCCTCAACAAGGAGGATGGATCACAGCTTGCTATGTTTGTGCAAGAAAGTTTCTTGTTGGATATTAAGGTTTTTGATTCTCTTTTTATTGTGGAACTTTCACTGATAATTAAAATTCTCATGTGTATTTACTGTGATTACAAGCTGGTTCAATGCTTGCTTTGGCATAGGTTCATCCAAGTTCTACAACTATAGAAGGCACATTAGGAAACCTTAGGTTATGTGACCTGTCACTTGGATCGAATAACTGGGGATGGCTTTGTGATATACGTAATCAGGGTGCTGAATCACTTGTGGAGGTATTAGTTTTACCATTCTTTTGAAGTATTGTAATGAGTTTTTGTTGGCTTGTCCTTTTTTAACAACCTCTTCTCCCCACCTGTCTCCTTTTCAGTTTAAGTTCAGTTCTTACAGTTCTTCAGATGACGATTATGAGGGATATGACTACAGCTTGTGTGGACGACTCTCTGCTGTTCGGATCGTTTTTCTTTATAGATTTGTTCAGGAGGTTAGCTGAAATTTTATTACTATTACTTTTCTTGGGTAGCTTCCGTATCTGTTTTCATTCCATCGGACAGTTCAATGTATTGTTATCTGGTGACCTATTTGGCTTTCGTTTAATTTTAGCATTTGGGCTGCATTCGAATTATTTAGATGAGTTGATGAAGATCTACCAGCATCTTCCTTTATCTGTATGAATTATTTTTATTGGGTGGGCTGGTGTTCCTTGTTCTGAATTTCTTTCTTAAACTTTGCGGTAGATAACTGCGTATTTTATGGAGCTTGCGACTCCACATACCGAGGAAGTGATTAAGCTGGTCGACAAAGTTGGAGGCATTGAGTGGTTGATTCAGAAGTATGAAATTGATGGTGCATCTGCTGTGAAGCTAGATCTCTCACTGGACACACCGCTTATAATAGTGCCTAGAAACTCTATGAGCAAAGAGTAATTGCATCTCCATTTCATTGTTTAAACTGCTTTCTCTTTTGAGGATTTAATATCTGGCGTTGGCCCTCATTGAAGATTTTATTGTACTGTTTGACGAGTTTGATGTAAATGTTGTATCTTTCATGCAGCTTTATGCAACTTGATCTTGGCCATTTACAAATCAGAAATGAATGTACTTGGCATGGGGACCCTGTGAAAGATCCTTCTGCTGTTCATCTTGATATTCTTGATGCAGAGGTACCTGATTCTCGTTAATATTGAATCAGAGTGGATAATTGAACTTAGGTGTAACCCTTGTTTTTTCTTTTTTTCAAATAAATTGAAGATCCTTGGCATCAACATGGCTATCGGAGTTGATGGTTCTCTTGGTGAACCTATGATAAGAGAAGGGAGTGATATTCATGTTTATGTACGTCGAAGTCTCAGAGATGTCTTTAGGAAAGTCCCCACCTTTGCTTTGGAAGTGAAGGTAAATTATTGATTTAAGATCTTCTTTAAGACATTTTTGGTTATCTGGTACAAGAAGCATTATGGAATTATGCCATTTGCTTTCTCTGTCCTCGTGTTTAGTTATTTAAGTGGTTTGAATCAAAAGTTTTTTCATGTTTTCGGCATTGATGTATACAATTCTTCTGCTTTTATTCATATTCTTGTCTCATTCCGCCCTTTTGAATCTTTTGAATCTTTGCCTTTTCTCTTGATTCCTTTAATGAAAAATTTAGCTTGCTATTTGCATTCGGGAGGATTAGATTTTCTTTGATTATGTTGGTGATTCAGTTAATTTTGTGATTTTTTTACAGGTTGGTAAGCTACATGCCATGATGTCTCATAAGGAATATATCATTATTCTTGACTGCTTCTACATGAACCTGAATGAACAACCAAGCCTTCCTCCTAGTTTTCGGGGCCACAAGTCTGCTCCAAAAGATACAATAAAATTGCTGGCTGACAAGGTGAACATGAATGGTCAAGTGCTGTTGTCACGGACTGTCACTATAATTGCTGTAAAAGTTGACTTTGCATTGCTGGAGGTTTACCATGGTGTTCTTGAGGAGTTACCTCTGGCTCATATTGCTGTGAGTATATCTGCAATTTGATTGTGTTACTGAAGTGCTTGCGGTCATTATTCAGATTACCGTAGTTTCTGGAGTTTTTCTTAATTTGGAGTTCTGAATTCTTCTTGCAGCTTGAAGGTCTTTGGGTGTCATACCGGATGACTTCATTGTCTGAGGCAGACCTTTATGTGACTGTTTCCAAGTTTTCCATTATAGATAATCGTCCCGGGACGAAACCTGAAATGCGTCTGATGCTTGGTTCCTGTGCCGACGCTTCAAAGCAGATATTGTCGGCTGAATTTACTGTTGTTGCTGATGCACCGACTTCAACTATGCTCGTGATGGATTGTCGATGGCGATCATCGTCCCAATCATTTGTAGTTCGCATACAACAGCCTCGGATACTCGTTGTTTTAGATTTTCTTCTTGCTGTTTGTGAGTTTTTTGTACCGTCTCTAGGAACATTTACAGGGAGAGAGGAAATGATGGATCCGAAGAATGACCCGGTCGTTAAAAGCCAAAGCATTCTTCTTTGCACTCCGGCTTATAAACAGACAGAAGATGTAGTTATATTTTCCCCGAATAGGCAGTTAATTGCTGATTCTGTAGGCCTTCATGAATATGTATATGATGGCTGTGGAAAGACTATCAGTCTCTTGGATGACGTTGACAGTAAGGAGTTCCATTCATCCGGAGATCAACCCATTATTATTATAGGGAATGGCAAGAAGTTGAGATTCATGAATGTGAAGATTGAGGTACCCCAAGGTTTTTATTCATCAGTTATACCCCAAATGACTGAACATGTTCAGCCTCTGTTTACATGAAGCAGTACAAAATGCTAACTGTATAATTTTCCTATTGATGAGTCACTCTATTTTCTGATTAACTTTATTATTTGGATTGTCAATTTCCAGAATGCTTCTTTAATTGCCACGCATATTTACTTGGGTTGCGAAAGCAGCTTCTCAGTGTCTGATGAAGATGGGGTGGAAATGATATTTTGGGAGAATGGCTCACTTGATAATGATGGCACCGAATATTCAGGTCAGATGGAAGAGTTGTATCATGCATCTGATGTCTCGGGCTCAGTTCAAAGTGAATCGGGAAAATTGCAAAGTTTTAGTTTTGAAACCCAGGTATCATACCAAATTCTTAGGTATATGCAATTTAATTTTGGGAGATCAGACTTTAAGACTTTAGACTCTCTCTCTATATGCACTTTTTTTGTGTGGCTAACTTGCACTTTACATTTGTCATTTAGATGATTAACTGTTTGAAGAAAGATTCTGATTTAAGTATGAGATTGGTGGTTGGAATTGTTAGAATCTTAGTTGCAGTTTATATGAAGTACATCTCTGAAACGTCGGCTATTTCTTGCCTATTCCAGATTGTTTCGCCTGAATTGACCTTTTATGACAGTAGTAAGTCATCCCTTGATGATTCCACATATGGTGAAAAGCTTCTACGTGCAAAAATGGATTTCAGCTTCATGTAAGATATTGTCGTTTCTTTTTCGTGTTAACTCGATTGCCCTTTGTCATGTTTTCTTCTACTTTTTCTTATTTCCTGGAAACTTCCACTGTATAAATTGGCTAATTTCGTGTTCCAAACAGGTATGCCTCCAAGGAAAGTGACACTTGGATTCGTGGCCTTCTGAAAGATCTTAGTCTCGAGGCTGGTTCAGGACTTATCATTCTCGATCCAGTTGATATTTCTGGAGGATATACATCCGTCAAGGAGAAAATGAATCTGTCTCTGATGTCCACAGATATATGTGTTCATCTATCTCTTAGCGTGCTGTCCCTTTTGCTGAACCTACAAGGGCAGGCTGCAGCAGCTTTGGAGTTTGGCAATGCTGCTCCCCTGTCTCCTTGTACCAACTTTGATCGAATTTGGGTTTCTCCTAAAGGTTCTAAATGTCTTTGTTGATTTTTTGTATATCTATTTCGGGTTTTTGTTTTGTTGGATTCTGTTGCAATTTTTGGTGATTAACTGCACTGCCTTTGAACAGAGATTGGGAATCATAACAACCTTACATTTTGGAGGCCACAAGCCCTTTCCAACTATGTTATATTGGGAGATTGTGTGACATCAAGGTTGGTTGAGTGTATTTCCTGAATGACTCTCTGTATGACTTCTTAAATTGTGCAGGAAGGTCTGTTGTGACCACTTTTTTGTTTATGCCTTGTTTTGTAAGTTTTTATTTTTTGTCGGAAAATTAAATTTCTCTACGTTATGGACCTCTCTTGTTTGGTGTAAGATTGGAGTAAAACTCAAAGTGAATTATTATGCCCCAAGATAACTGATAAATTTTCTTATCTAGGCCGTCTTATATTAAGATGGAAATGAGTTACAATGGTACCACTTGTGTTATTTATAGAGAAATTTCAAAATTCTTGAAGTCAATTGTATGAATCATCTGTGGCGGTGTGAAAGTTGTGTTAGGTATTTTGGTTGAGTTTGTACACTGTCAATATTCCTTGCCAACAGAGTAAGGTCTGTATTTGTGATTACTTGGGCCAACAACTAGCTGTTAACTGAAATAAATGTCTCACCTTTGCTTGGATTCTTTTAGTTGGTGTTTACTTGGGCCATTTTATCATTCCTGTAATCATTATAGTCCCCCCAACAGAGCTTATGGGCTTGCACCTGTGTTTTGAGATGCCTGTCTTTACGAGATGGTAATATATATTATTGCTATTGAGAAGCCTTTTCTTTGAGCACCCATTTGGTTTTGTTTTTACCTACTATTTCAGGCCAAGTCCTCCTGCGCAGACTGTTATGGCTGTCAGCAATACTTATGGTCGTGTGAGAAAGCCTCTTGGTTTCAAGCTGATGGGTACAGTTTCCAGAGATCCTGTTTCAGATGATTCATATTCAGAAGCTGATTCGTCGGATTCTGATTGTTCTCTTTGGTTTCCAATTGCTCCACCTGGATATCTAGCATTAGGCTGTGTTGCTCACAGAGGATACCAACCGCCACCAAATCACATTGTTCATTGTTTACGATCTGATCTTGTCACTTCGACAATGTATTCAGAATGCTTATTTAGTGTTGGCTCTAGTGTTTCCTACATATCTGGTTTTAGCATTTGGCGTTTGGATAATGCTTTTGGATCGTTTTATGCCCATCCATCAACTGGATGCCCTCCTATTGATGATTGTTATGACAGAAATCATCGCCTTCGTTGGTTTTCTCCCAGCCATAAGTTGTCTTCCTCTAACCAATCAGCCTCGAGTTCAAAAGCTGTCCTGGAACCTAGAAATGAGCCAAATAGTGATGCTGCAACTTCTTCTGGATGGGACAAGGTTAGATCTATATCAAAGGCAACCTCTTGCTACATTTCAACTCCCCACTTCAAGAGAATTTGGTGGGATAGAGGTAGTGATCTTCGCCAACCAGTCTCTATATGGCGTCCTGTTCCACGTCCTGGATATGCTATTTTGGGAGACTGCATCACTGAAGGGTTACACTCCAGACCTCTTTTTTTGCTAATATTTCAACATTTGAACATGAGCATTGATAGAGATATTGAATTCGTTTAGTGAAATGCGTGAATGACTAACGTGGAGCACATAATAAGAAACAAATATCCTTATCCTGTTTTACCTTCTAAGAAAACCAAATTGGTCATTTTTGTATTTGCATGTTAGTCATTGAGCCATTTTGCTGAATGAATTCGTTGGAAGAGTGTTTCTTATCCTATGACTTGTTTTCTCAGGTTGGAACCACCTCCGCTTGGTCTAATTTTCAGGACTGACAATTCTGATATGTCTTCAAAGCCTGTTCAATTTACTAGGGTTGCTCATATCGGAATTAAGGGTGTTGATGAAGCTTTCTTCTGGTATCCGATTGCCCCTCCAGGTTATGTTTCTCTCGGATGCGTCGTCACTCAATATGATGTAGCTCCAAGTTTAGAATCATTTTGTTGTCCTAGGTTAGATCTTGTTAGTCAAACTAATATCCTGGAGATACCCGTAACTAAATACTCGAGCTCCAAGGCATCCCAATGCTGGAGCATTTGGAAGGTGGAAAATCAGGTAAGAGCTCTTAGTGGTGGTTTTTTATTTCTTATCGTGAGATTTGGTTCTGTTACTTTGCAAGGACACAAGATGTTTGCTTTTTCTATACAGGCCTGTACCTTCCTTGCCCGCTCTGACTTGAAAAAGCCTTCACCTCGATTAGCATTTGCTGTTGCGGATTCTGTGAAGCCTAAGTCAAAGGAAAACATTACAGCTGAGATGAAAATCAGATACTTCTCACTTACCATTCTGGACAGTTTATGTGGAATGGTTGTTCCTGCTAGAAACTTGTGTTTACCATCTTTATACTTGTCTTGTGCACTTCGCATAATTTATTTTAATCCTTTTCCAGATGACACCACTTTTTGATGCCACGGTTACTAATCTGAAGCTTGCAACGCATGGTCGATTAGAAGGGATGAATGCTGTTTTAATTGCTTCAATTGCTGCTTCAACTTTTAACAGACAATTAGAAGCATGGGAGCCAGTTGTGGAGCCATTTGAAGGAATATTTAAGTAATGCTTCTTATCTTTTTAACTGTTTCGTGTCATATATGCCACCAAGAGATTTGTACGGTTCGTATTATGTGTAAAAGTTATCTTCTTTTTTTTTTTTTTTTTTGTGGGTCAGGTTTGAAACATATGATGCGAGTTTAAATTCTCTATCAACTGTGGGAAAAAGGATATGCATTGCTGCTACAAGTATTTTAAACGTCAACTTGAGCTCAGCAAATATTGAAACATTTATTGAAACGATCACTTCCTGGGCTAAACACATAGAACTCGAAGAGAAAGCAATCAGACAAATTGAGGTGAAGTAGAATCTGGATTATTTTTTGTCTTGAAATTTCTGTGATGTTCATTTTGTTTATGAATGTTTACTAGATCATTTTGTTTTTTTGCAGAATCGTGAAGGACAGAGTGATGATGCAACACTGTCAGCATTAGATGAAGATGATTTTCAAACTGTGATCATAGAAAACAAACTTGGTTGTGATGTTTTTATCAAAAGGGTTGAGGAAAACTTAGATAAAATCGAATTTCTTAGGCCTGATTCTTGTGCCTCTGTGTGGCTCCCACCTCCAAGATATTCAGACAGATTAAATGTTGCTGATGAATCTAGGGAACCCCGTCGCTACGTTGCTGTGCAGATTGTAGAAGCAAAGGTACCTTTGCATGACTTCTTATCTTTCTTTTTGGACGAAGCAAAAACATTGCAGGGATAGTTTTTCTCATTTTTTACCAAATCACAAACTACTGGGGAAGTTATTTGTGTAAGGGAATTTTATGTCCAAATACCACAAGTTAGCCTGGGACATTACTTTTTGCTCTGTCGTAACATCAGCCTTCTGTTGTGGTCCATTCTGCTGAACTTTTGTACTGCAGGGTTTGTCTGTCGTTGATGATGGAAACAGCCATAGTTTCTTCTGTGCTTTGCGCCTGATGGTAGAGAATCAGGAACTAAATCAGCAAAAGCTTTTTCCACAGAGTGCAAGAACAAAATGCGTCAAGCCTTCAATTGTTACATCGAACAATGTGGTTGAAGGCAGTGCTAAATGGAATGAACTCTTCATTTTTGAAGTCCCTCGGAAGGTGAATCTGCTTAGTAGATTTTGATTTCTCAAACAATGATATTGAAATAAAATTCAAATAGAAGAAGAAAGGAGAAAACCGGTTGGTTTCTTGTTGTTTTCTGTTTTTATTTTCCCTTTTTATTAATTCATATGTTTTTATAAATTTCTGTAGGGTTATTCTAAGTTGGAATTGGAGGTGACTAACCTTGCAGCTAAGGCAGGAAAAGGTGATTTATTTTGGCGCACTGGCTTCTAGATCAAAAGAAGAGACTGATATAAGAACATTGCAATTTTGCTTAGATGAGGTGTAGATGCTAATCATTTTGCTTTTCCAATGTAGGTGAGGTTGTAGGTGCATCTTCGTTCTCTGTGGGGCGTGGTGCTAGTTCGTTGAAGAAAGTTGCTTCAGTCAAAATGCTACATCATGCCTATGATGTTCGAAATGTTTTGTCCTATCCACTTAAACGAAAAGTTAGTGCTTGAAAAAATTACTGTTTTGTGTGTTAATTTGTTTCTTTTTTCTCCTCGTGTAATGTGTTTTGTTTTTCTTTCTTTAGGGCACAGACGGGGAATTGACAAGTGACCAAGGATGCGTACTTGTTTCTGCTTCTTATTATGAAGGGAAAATAATATCAAATTTTGAACATGTTTCAGAAGGAGGGAGTGATAGGGATAGAGATGTGGGTTTCTGGTTGGGATTAGATCCTGAAGGCCCTTGGGAGAGTTTCCGTTCATTCCTTCCTCTGTCTGTTATAACTAAAACTATGAAGGATGACCTTATGGCTGTGGATGTTGTTGTTAAGAACGGAAAGAAGTATGGTGTCCTAAGAGGCCTTGCTACAGTCACAAATGACTTGGACGTAAAGTTGGATATCTCTCTATTCCTTGTTCCCACGGTTCAGTCTCAGGCTACTGCTGCCGAAAGAAACAGTTCTCTTGTTGTTGTGGAAGAAGTCTTTCAGAATCAACGCTATCATCCGACATTAGGATGGGGAAACGGTAAGCCTGGGTTTGATGACAATGATCCCAAGACTTGGAGCACTCGAGATTTCTCTTATTCCGCTAATGTAATTTTCAATCATAAGACTTTTCAAATTTCATGTCCTTTGTCCGGCTTTTTAAATAATCCTTCTCACCTACGATTTACTTTATAGGACTTCTTTGAACCTCGTATGCCACCTGGTTGGACGTGGGCATCACCATGGACTGTTGAAAAATCTTCTTTTGTCGATGTTGATGGCTGGGCTTATGGGCCTGACTATGCCAGCTTGAGATGGCCCCCAAATTCCGCACAAACAAGTTCAAAATCCAATCTTGATACTGCTCGTCGACGGCGTTGGACCCGTACAAGGAAGCAAATTAATGATCAGAGTCAGACTGCTGCCGTTACCGATGTTTTTAGTGCCACTGTTCCTGGTTCTGCTACTATTTTACCTTGGAGAAGCATGTCCAAGGATTCAAACTGCTGTTTGCAAGTTCGTCCATGCATCAATAACTCACCAGCTCCATGTGAGTGGGGTCAACCAGTCAGTCAAGGTGTCGCCTATACTGGGGGAAAAGACCAACCATCAGTTGAACAAGGTCCCCATGCCCGGCAGAATACTGTGAAGCAGACAAAAACATCTGTATCTCCTTTGAGATTGAATCAGCTTGAGAAGAATGATGTATTGTTCTGTTGTCCCTGTGATGGTGGTAAAAAGTTTTGGCTGAGTGTTGGTATTGATGCATCAGTTCTACCCACGGGTCTCAACACTCCGGTATACGACTGGAATATATCCATTTGTTCTCCTATTAAACTGGAAAACAGGCTTCCTTGTGCCGCCGAATTTGCCATTTTTGAGAGAGTAAAAGACGGTAACAATGTTGAGCAACAGCGTGGCCTTTTACCTTCTCGTGGAACTGTGCATGTATATCACGCTGATTTGCGAAACCCGATTTACCTTGTGTTGTTTATTCATGGAGGTTGGGTTATGGAGAAGGTGAGTATGAATTTGTGGTTGCAGATTGATTTTTCTGGGTGCACTTAGACTGTAGATGATGTGTTTTGTGAAAGTTTGTCATTGCTTCGTTTTATGATGCAGGATGCTGTACTCATTTTGGATGTTGTTAGTAACAATCATGCTTCTTCCTTCTGGATGATTCACCGGCAGAAGAAAAGGTCTTCACTGACATTACTTTTTTCCCTGTCTAGATTGTGTGTTTATATGATATATGGAATGCACCTTAGTATGTTTTCATTTCCCAGTTGATGATCGCTTGGAGTATGTATCTGGATTTGCATTTTTCATGCGAAGAGATTCTGCCATTTAACTATTTTGCATCTGTCTCCAAATTTACATCAAAAGCTCGCTTCGTGTTAGCTTCTTACATTCCTTGCTGCCTGCAGGAGGTTGCGGGTAAGCATTGAGCGTGACATGGGGGGCACTACAGCTTCCCCAAAGACGATAAGGTTTTTCGTTCCATACTGGATTAGCAACGATTCCTCCTTGCTTTTATCATATCGAGTGGTAGAAATAGAACCAGCGGCAGAGGGCTCAGATGTGGATTTGGCTATGCTCTCAAAAGTTAAATCTGCAAAATTAGCCATGAAAACAACTCCTTCTCTGCTCGGGAGGCAGATTAGTTCTCGGAAGAATGTTCAAGTGCTTGAAGCAATTGAAGACACCAGTCCCACACCAAGTATGCTCTCTCCTCAAGACTATATTGGCAGAGGTGGCGTTATGCTGTTCTCCTCACGGAATGATGCCTATCTGTCCCCACGTGTTGGAATTTCAGTTGCTTGTCAATCATCTGAAAATTTCAGTGCTGGGATCTCTCTCCTTGAGCTGGAAAAAAAGGTACCGACTAAGTCGATCCTCTGATATGGCTTTTAGACGATATCTTTATATCTGCAACTCAAAACAATGTCTTTGCTGCAGCAACGAGTTGATTTGAAGGCATTTGGTTTGGATGGTTCTTACTACAAACTTTCAGCTTTGCTGAACATGACATCAGATAGAACAAAGGTATAGGAATCTGTGGGCATGTTTCTCTGAATCTTAATAAAAGTTAGGTGTTTTAAGCTTTTTTCAACTTATAATGTTAAAATTGTTCTAAATAATAAAGATTGTGGTAGGAATAGTCTTTTGTTCCCATTGATTATGTGGATAATATAGGGTATTATTTGCTTATACAGGTAGTGCACTTTCAACCACACACTTTGTTTACAAACAGGGTTGGTTGTAGTATTTGCCTTCAACAATGTGATACCCAGGCAACAGAATGGATTCATCCTTCTGAACCTCCTAAGCATATTAGTTGGCAGTCCGCAAAAGTTGAATTGTTGAAGGTATGTATAGAATGAGTAAGATTACGAAGTCCTTATTTTTGGCCCCACAGTTAAGCAATTCTTCTTTATCTAATGCTCATAACAGTTGCACCTTGATGGATATGGATGGAGTACACCATTTAGTGTAGCTACTGAGGGAATAATGTCCATTCTCCTGAAAGGCGAATCCAAATTTGACCTACTGAATCTTAGAGTAGAAGTAAGAAGTGGAACGAAGAGCTCTCGTTATGAAGTTATATTCCGTCCAAGCTCCTTTACTAGTCCTTACAGGTTCAGTCACCTTGTTATTATTTATGGCATAATTTCACTTCTTTTTGGAGATTTGTTCAAATATTAAGTTGTCATCATTATTTAAATTGCATAATTTTTCTTTCTCAGAAGAAGTTATCTTCTATTAACATTTGAATTGCTGGAACTCTTTGGTCTAGCTTAGAGTCCTGTGGCAACTTTGCATTTGCTTAATGATCTCCTTGATTAAATTAGAAAGTAGTTCTTTGTGTGACCATTTTCAGCTCTGCAGGATCGAGAATCGCTCGTTCTTTTTGCCAATACGTGTTCGGCAATTAGAGGGTTCTGTTGATTCATGGCGCTCTGTTCTGCCCAATTCTTCAACATTTTTCTTTTGGGAAGATCTTGGTAGACAAAAATTGCTAGAGATTTCGGTAGATGGAGCCGATTCTACCACTTCACAGACATATAACATTGACGAGATTTTTGATCATGAGCCCTTCCAAGCTTATGGTGGTGGTGTCTTACGTGTTACTGTCCTGAAAGAGGAGCAAACGAATGTCGTTACAATCAGTGATTGGAAGCCTGGAAGTGATCCTTCTACAACTTTGAGTCGAATTCCTCCATCAAACATCTTGGGGAAGAATTTTCAACCTCTGCAATCAACATCTAGTTTGGAAGGTGAGTTTCATCTTGTTGTGGAGGTTCTGGAGCTGGGATTGTCTATAATTGATCACACCCCCGAAGAGATATTATATCTGTCCATCCAGAATCTTCTGCTATCTCATTCAACGGGACTTGGCTCTGGAACCAGTAGGTAATAAATATTGTTATGTTAAAAATGCCAATTTTATTCAAGTTCATTGCTGCAGTGATTTTATGCTGTAATGATGTGAGATTAATTGTCACCATTTTCTCATAATGGTGCTAATTTTTTTGAGGAACATGTTTTGTTAGGCTTAAGATTAGGATGCGGGGGATTCAGGTGGATAATCAGTTACCTTTAACTCCCATGCCGGTTCTGTTTAGACCACAGCGAGTTGGAGATGAGAATGATTACATATTAAAATTTTCTGTGACTCAGCAATCAAACGGATCACTGGACTTACATGTATATCCATATATAGGTTTCCAGGTTAGTGTTCAGTACCATTTGTAATTGTTCTCTTAGACTTTGTAACTTTTTCTTAGACTTTGTAACTTTTTCTTAGATTTTCATGCCCAATATTTGCAATAAATGTTAAGTTTTTGTGTGCAGGGTCCTGAAAATTCAGCTTTTTTAATTAAGATCCACGAACCCATCATTTGGCGGATTCACGGAATGATTCAGCAGGCGAATCTTAGCAGATTATATTCTGTCCAGAGCACTTCTGTCTCCGTTGATCCAACCATTCAGATTGGGTACCATGTCCTTTTTTGTTGGGGATATCTTCCTTGTTGCAAGTCACCGTATTGGCTTTATACAAACTTCTGTTAATGAAAATATTCAAATTGCAGTGTTCTCAACTTCTCTGAAGTTCGATTCAAGGTTTCCATGGCTATGTCTCCTAGTCAGCGGCCTGTTGGTGTTCTTGGCTTTTGGTCGAGCTTGATGACTGCTCTGGGTAACACGGAAAATATGCCAGTTAAGTATATTGTCCTTATGAATTTACCTTTTGTGCATCCAATGCCTCCAGTATAAGTCCAGGATGCCATTTGCTAAAATATCGACATTTATGTTAAAACTAAATAAAAAATATATATAATAATAATAATTGCAATATCAGGTCAGGATGAATCCGCGGTTCCTGGAAAATGTTTGCATGCGGCAAAGTGTTCTTGTTGCCAATGCTATCTCTAATGTTAAGAAGGATCTTCTCAGCCAACCTCTTCAGCTTCTCTCTGGTGTTGATATCCTTGGTAATGCGAGTAGTGCACTTGGACACATGAGCAAAGGTGTTGCTGCCTTGTCGATGGATAAGAAATTTATTCAAAGTCGTCAAAGACAGGTTTGTATCAGTGAGATTATGTTTCCTCCATTGCTAGGTCATTTCTGAAATGAATTTGAGATTTGTTTAAATTCTTCTGTCATCAAATGGCTTTCTTGCAGGAGGGCAAAGGGGTGGAGGACCTTGGTGATGTTATCAGGGAAGGGGGTGGAGCATTAGCTAAAGGGCTTTTCCGAGGAGTAACTGGTATTTTAACTAAGCCACTTGAAGGTGCAAAAGCTTCAGGCGTTGAAGGGTTTGTTCAAGGTGTTGGGAAAGGATTAATTGGTGCAGCTGCACAACCTGTTAGTGGGGTTTTAGATCTTTTATCAAAGACCACGGAAGGGGCCAATGCAGTGAGAATGAAGATTGCATCAGCTATTGCTTCAGAAGATCAACTGCTCCGGAGAAGGCTGCCTCGTGCTATTAATGGTGATAATTTGCTTCGTCCTTATGATGAATATAAATCACAGGGACAAGTATGTACTCTCCCACACCCTATGTTGTTTCGTCCTGTGAAAATCCCGTATCTTTAAATTTGTGAAGTTTTAGGAACTGTCTAATTCAAGTTTCATCTGACCTTCATCTTCTCTGAAAATGTTAGGCAATTTTACAGCTAGCTGAATCGGCATCATTTTTCAGCCAAGTTGATCTGTTCAAAGTACGTGCTAAGTTTGCCTTAACAGATGCCTATGAAGATCACTTTTTGCTTCCAAAGGGAAGAATCGTTGTTATTACACATCGAAGGGTGATTCTCTTGCAAGTAAGTGAAGCATATGATGGTTGTTCACAATCATTTATAGATAAACAGATTATACTGTCTATATAGCTTTTGTCGGCGCCTGTCCTCAGTGTATATCTCATGTTCCATTTTCAGCAACCATCGAACATTATTATTGCTCACAAGAAGTTTAACCCGGCAAGAGATCCGTGTTCGGTTTCATGGGATGTGGTTTGGGATGACCTTGTTACAATGGAACTGACGCTTGGAAAAAAAGATCATCCCAGTGCTCCTCCTTCACGGCTTGTTCTGTATTTGCAAGGTAGATCACTGGAAGCTAAGGAACAAATTCGTGTTATAAAATGCATGAAAGACTCCAATCAGGCAATGGAGATTTATTCTTCAATCGAGCAAGTACGGTCTACTTATGGACCACGACAACTGCAGGTGATGCCTCTATCTCTGTCTTCTCTGTTACTTTCTGGGATCATTCCTGATTTTCGTACGGATTTTTTCACTTGGTTTTTGCCTGTTGATGTGAGGTTAGCAGAATTGGAGTTGATTCTTCGTCTTCTTCTTCACTGCTTCATTCCCTTTTTTTTCCCCTTAATTTTCTTTGGTTGATTCTTGATTTGAATTTCAGGCCTCTTTGCAAAGGAAAGTGACAAAACCCTATTCACCAAATGCGGATATGGCCTCTGAAGCATTTTCGAATGAAGGCATTGGTGCTTCTTCTCCTTCGCAGCAGTTGCCTACATCAGTACCATTAAGCTCAACCTTTGGAAGCAGCGATCAATGATATGTTGATTATGAAGAGAAGCTGATGACTACAGTAAAAATGTTGCAACGACGCTATTCAACGATGCATTCCAAAAGAATCTTTAATCATTGCCGCTCAATCGCTTTCAATCTTTACGGAAAGTGGAAAGGTAATGCTGGTTTCACTTCTTTTCCTTTGGCTCGAAACAGGCGTTCATATTTAGATGACATTGTATTCCTTCGGATTTCTTTTTTTGATTGGGAAAGATTGACAAGTGGATACACAGGCATTGAAGCATTACTTTCATTTCACAATTGTGTAATTGAAGGTTTGATGACTTTTAAAAATCAGTAGTCAAGACTGGAGAGGGGATGGATGGATGACATAATCATTCTTTTTCAGGGTTGTTGCAGTTATATGTTGAAGACGTACTCTTTTTCAAGGGGTTCATTTTCTTGCGGTCAGTAAAAAACCTTGGATTGGCCTTGCTTCCTTGAATGAAATGTAACATTTTAGTTTTCTTGTGCAATTTGGGTTCTAATTTGTATGTAAATATGTATAGTTGTGAAAGGTGGTTTTAGGTTAGGAAAAAGGAACCCACAGCAAATTGATTTTAAGTGAAATGTATGTAATATTGGGAGGGATGGTGTTCCCGACTTTGATCTATAACTTCTTGTAACATCTTTGAAGAAACAAGCTTGCGTGATCTTTATATTAGTAAATGATTTATCCCTTTGAAGGATTGTGTGCAGCAGTAGCACCTTCGCACGTGCCAGAAGCATAAGTAGCTCTAGAAGCCTGCCATGACCTCATTTTGGACTTTTTTTTTTTTATTAGAATATATGTACAAAACAAAATTTTGCCAAAAATATGTGCCGGCAAATCCGAATCTCACTAAATTTGGTAGTTAAGAAAATAGGGAAAATTTTGAATTTGAGAAATCTAAATTAATAAAAAGGGTACAACTATTACATAATTTGGATTAAGGGTGCTAAATTAATTCTTCTAAATTAATTATGTTTTGACTCTAGTGCCCCTATTCTTCTACTTCCTCAGTGGAAAATAAAAAATGCGCAAACCCTTCCTGTTGTCGCTTGATTTTTTGACCGACAACCTCTCTGGCATGGTCATGACAGCAATTCGATTAACAAATTAACAAGGTCAATTCAATTCCTTTTAGTCATACATTCTTATTATCCACTTTCATTGTTGTCCAAACTTTGCTCTAATCCTATTCTATTATAAAGCAAGAAGATCCATTCCTACAATTCTATCCTATTAGTATAAAGCAAGAAGGCCCAGTAGACTTCCTTTGAGGGTAATTTTGTCATTTAAGCACTCATCGTTGCCGAGTGCACCACGCGCCGGGGGGAGGAGGGTGCAGACGCGCGGCAGGCTTACTAATTTTTGTTTTGTTGTTTTCTTTTTCTTTTTTTTTTTTTATTTTTTACTTTTTACCAATTTTTTCAAACAATCATATCTTTTAATATATAAATAATTAAAAAACATGTTATATATCAAATTAATCTATTTCTATCAAGATCCATTTTTAATATTTTTGGAGTTAAAATTTTAATTCTGATTTGTAAGTTTAGTAATTATGTATATAAAGTTACATTATGGATTTATTAACTTGCATATATATATATAATATATATATATATATACTAATAATTTTGACATTTTTGTATGTTTTATGTATATTGATTATGTATTTATTTATAATGTAGTTTCGGTGCATGTTTCAGACACAAAACTTTGCCTAATAGAGAAGAACAATTCATAAGTCTACTTCAGCTTGATAGCCTCTCTCTATGTAGAATACAGGATATGAAGTCATGTACATAGTACGTTCAACATAGGTTAAATGAGGGATAAGTAGTTTTCTGATCTTGTCATTAAACCCTAAGTACGCAGCTAATTCTCTATACACGCAGCTGCTTCTGCGTACGGCATTACATTGTATATGGTAGAAACCTAAATGTGCTAGGTTCATAAGTTACATTCTAAAAACTCATACTCTTTCAGTCACAAAATAATACAAAACATGATATATTACTATTGGTAGAAATTGTACTAACAACAAATAATTTAATCGGACTAATTTCGTGATGGAGAGAGTAGCTTTTGTCAAGGGATTTCTAGGACAAAAAATGACTCCAGAGCTACAGGATTCTTACCCTTAATAGGTTCATCGAGTTTCCGGGGCTCCAGTTTGCCTCCTTCCGGGAAACAACCACATCTGCTTCTCTTTCGGAAATCACATCCACTCGTTGCCGTTTCAGTGATCTGGCTTCCGTCTCCGTCGTAAACATTGGCCGGGCCGTTCATCATTCTTCCGCTTCCGAAACCGCCGTAGCCACCTCGCTGCTCTTCCGTTCCCGTCAGAAACCCTAATTTGCATAACTGCATCTAAAAAAAAAAAAAGAAAAGGAAGGAAGAATAAAATCAAGACAAATTTTTTGATAGGATCGCAAGGATTTTGGAAATGCCAACTCATAATATTTATTTTTGCTACTCAAAGAAGAAAGGAAATTGCAAGTGATTAATATTTTGACAGTAGACCAAATCTTTTTGTCATATTAATGTGTCCACAAGAAATACTTTGCCCTTGTTAGATACCAAATCAGATTTTATTTCACTTCTTACGGTGGACTGCTCATTAATTGACGGTTATAATTGAATAATTGATAGCTAATTAAGGTTATATACCGATACACGAAAAAGTTCAAGCATATCTCACCTCAATAAATTCTACTTTTTGGCGTCCAAAAAAAGGAAAAAATAAAAGGAAATATCTCTTGATTTCTTTTGGAGAGTATATATTATACGCATCCTGTGTCACAAAATCAAGACAAAAGGATCGACCCATACACTTTTCTTCCATCACCATCATCATCATCATCTATGGTGGCAGTTCTTATGATACTTCTTTATTATTATATATTATTCAGATTTCAATTAATTCCAAACGTTTTCTCAATGGGTCCACGCCGGTCAAAGGTTAGTCTTATTGTAATATTTAGTATATTTCCTATTATGTCCTAGTTTAGGGTTTGTTATTGTTTATATATAGTCTGTATATTGTGCACAACATATGATGAATTCAATACAATTTCCCTATTCTAACTTGGTACAGAGCTAGGTTTAAAACAACCAATTTTTTTTTTCCTCTCCTTTTCTTTTCTCTTCCCCGCCGCCGATTGCTTTTTGGCCGTGCGTTGCCGCCGTTTGCTGCTGCTTCTTCCTCCTTCTTCCTTCGTCGGCGTTGCTTGTCCCTTCTTCCGGCGAACCTATCAACAAGGGAAGCTACACATATAAAAGCAGACTCTGGATATTTAATGAGAGACAACATTTGCATATGGTATTTATTCACTGTGAAAAAATATATGATAGTATTAATAGATATATAATATGGCGGATATGGGGTAGGGTTTTTTTTTTTTTTTTTATAAAAAAAGAAGGTTGAGATGGCATTCAGGTTCCAATGAGCACAAAAATTCTCAAGTGGTATACCCAAGAAACCATATATAATAAAAAAACCATACTCAAGGGGTACATTATATCGAAACCATAAAATACATAGTTAATAATGCAATAACATGTATTAGGAGTCTAGTAAGGATAGCAAGGTGAATTCTCAATCACTAAGCATTTGTAAATAACTATCTCTGAATGTATATTATTTGCGGATGGCATAGTTTTAATAGAAAACAGCAAGGAGATAAAATACCAAGTTAGAAGGAAATACTAGAATCTAAAGATTTTACAATAACTAGATATAAAAACGAATATATGAAACGTAATTTTTAGTAATCTTAGGAGTAATAACATACAAAAATGTTTTTAAAAAAAAAACAGGGAATATTGTTTGTTCAGTATTTGGAGACCCTACTCAGAAGCAGTGGAAAGCATATTTGATAAACATAAGTTGAGCACATCTAAAAATTTTAAATATATAAAAACCATACAGTAAACACTACGGAAAAAAGTTAAAAAATCTAATAATCTAAATATTTGGGGGGAAAACCACTAATTCAATTAAGAAGAAGAGGAAGATCAATCAAATGGGAGACTTATTTAACTAACCCGATACTCTTGAATTTGCTTCTCGTACTCCGTCCATAGCTCCACGTTCGAGATACATTTCTTTCTCGTGAGTTTGGTAATCCATTCGAATTAGTAGGTAAAGTTAGGCATGCCCAAGGTTTTGGTTCGAATGGGAAAATAAGGTTCTGGTTCTTGAACCGCCTTTGAAGGTTATAGAACCTTAACCGAACCTTGTATTGGTGGTTCGATTAAGGTTCTATTATATTTGAAACTGTGAACCGGCGGTTTTAATTGGCAGTACTGAATCGTAAAAATCTAGCTATTCAATTGCCAGTTATATCGATATTTTTTATAACTAAAAAAAATAGAATATCTGTCAATATAGTTATTTTATTTTTTTTTAGGGAAATCCAGAGCAGTGTATCAACATAGTTATTTTTATCATTGTTTTAAAAGTAAAAAAAAAAACATAAAGTAAACTGGTGGTTCAATTACCGCATTGTTATTTTTTTTCATATGTGATGCAAACAATCTATTTTTTTTTATAGATTATGTTTGCAAGGATGATTTTTGAGTTGAGTAACTTTTACGCATCATGCATTATTATTTTTCATTTGAGGTATACATACCAAGTATCGTCTTATTTTTTTCAAATATTAAAAAAATGAATTTCTTACTCCACATTTCATATTACTTTTTTAAAAATTAAAAAATATTCATTTAACAAAAAAAAAATCCAATAAAAATCAAATCAAAACCATATCAGAACCGGATTCTAACCAGAACCGACAGTTTTCGAACCGTAACCAAAATCTTAGTATAAACGAGCAGTAGTGACCAATCGTAATCAAACAAAGTATATGGTAACATCAGACATGTAGTGACCAATCACCAACCTAAAACTAGAAAGCTGACAGCCTTGGATCATTTTGTAAACATTGTAGAACTAATATTTCATGTAACATCTGGCGAAATTGCAAACATCCGCTTCGAATCAATATAATTCTTTGATTTTTCCTTTTGGAATGATGCCAAACAGAGACAATCAACCCATAACAAGCTTCAACAAATGGTTGTGCCAATTGCCAAAGTCACTTAGAAATTAGTTGATATAATAGTAAAGTAGAGTTTGAGGTTTTTTATATTATTGTTTGAAAAAATCTCAAACTAGAGAGATTCACTTGGCCACTTCCTGTACGTGGGACATAGATCACTACAGTCAAAGCTCATCAATTTCATCAATACCAAACATCGTCCGTATCCGTTGAAACCTGTTTCTACAGTTCTCAGTAATTAAGTTGATGGCAACACAACATGGTAAAATTGTAGGTCGTAATGATATTCCAATAGAAGCGTGAAAATGTCTTAATAAATTTGGAATTGAATGGCTTATAGATTTATTTAATGTAATCACGAAAAGTAAGAACATGCCTAATCAATAGAGGAAAAGTACATTAATAATTTTGTTTAAAAATAAAGGAGATAAACAAAATTGTACTAATTATAGAGGCATAAAACTAATGTGTGACAATGAAGATGTGAGAAAGAGTGATTTTTTTTAAAAAAAAAAAAAAATTTAACAGCAACTGTATAAGTAGTATAACCAGCCAACACAACGACATGACAATTGAAAATTGCCCAATGGTCTCAAGTTACAGCAAAGAGAAAAAACAAACATAATAAAAAAAAAATCATATATAATAAAGAAACCATATCAGAACCATATATAATAAAAAAACCTCAAACTCTACTTTACTATTATATCAACTAATTTCTAAGTGACTTTGGCAATTGGCACAACCATTTGTTAAAGCTTTACTATCAAAACCATATATAATAAATACTATCATATACTATCAAAAAAAAATCCAATAAAAATCAAATCAAAACCATATCAGAACCGGATTCTAACCAGAACCGACAGTTTTCAAACTGTAACCAAAATCTTAGTATAAACGGGCAGTAGTGACCAATCGTAATCAAACAAAGTATATGGTAACATCAGACATGTAGTGACCAATCACCAACCTAAAACTAGAAAGCTGACAGCCTTGGATCATTTTGTAAACATTGTAGACCTAATATTTCATGTAACATCTGGCGAAATTGCAAACATCCGCTTCGAATCAATATAATTCTTTGATTTTTCCTTTTGGAATGATGCCAAACAGAGACAATCAACCCATAACAAGCTTCAACAAATGGTTGTGCCAATTGCCAAAAGTCACTTAGAAATTAGTTGATGTAATAGTAAAGTAGAGTTTGAGGTTTTTTATATTATTGTTTGAAAAAATCTCAAACTAGAGAGATTCACTTGGCCACTTCCTGTACGTGGGACATAGATCACTACAGTCAAAGCTCATCAATTTCATCAATACCAAACATCGTCCGTATCCGTTGAAACCTGTTTCTACAGTTCTCAGTAATTAAGTTGATGGCAACACAATCCCTCAATGGTAAAATTGTAGGTCGTAATGATATTCCAATAGAAGCGTGAAAATGTCTTAATAAATTTGGGATTGAATGGCTTATAGATTTATTTAATGTAATCACGAAAAGTAAGAACATGCCTAATCAATAGAGGAAAAGTACATTAATAATTTTGTTTAAAAATAAAGGAGATAAACAAAATTGTACTAATTATAGAGGCATAAAACTAATGTGTGACAATGAAGATGTGAGAAAGAGTGATTTTTTTTTTAAAAAAAAAAAATTTAACAGCAACTGTATAAGTAGTATAACCAGCCAACACTACGACATGACAATTGAAAAGTGCCCAATGGTCTCAAGTTACAGCAAAGAGAAAAAACAAACATAATAAAAAAAAACCATATATAATAAAAAAACCATATCAGAACCATATATAATAAAAAAACCTCAAACTCTACTTTACTATTATATCAACTAATTTCTAAGTGACTTTGGCAATTGGCACAACCATTTGTTGAAGCTTTACTATCAAAACCATATATAATAAATACTATCATATACTATCAAAAAAAAAATCCAATAAAAATCAAATCAAAACCATATCAGAACCGGATTCTAACCAGAACCGACAGTTTTCGAACTGTAACCAAAATCTTAGTATAAACGGGCAGTAGTGACCAATCGTAATCAAACAAAGTATATGGTAACATCAGACATGTAGTGACCAATCACCAACCTAAAACTAGAAAGCTGACAGCCTTGGATCATTTTGTAAACATTGTAGAACTAATATTTCATGTAACATCTGGCGAAATTGCAAACATCCGCTTCGAATCAATCGGTTCTGGTTAGAATCCGGGCAGTAGTGATTACTATTATATCAACTTAGAAATTAGTTGATCTAATAGTAAAGTAGAGTTTGAGGTTTTTTA